AAGATATTAAGATAAAGAATGAATTGTTAAACTTTAAAGAATAAAAGAGAACAAATATGAATAAATAGCAATAATTAGAAACACACATACAAACATACAATGTATTTTCTTTGAACAGAATATTTGACCGGTTCACAAATTTAACCAGTGTTTAGTCATTTCAATTAAATTTACAATTTCTATATTTCCTTTTTACCATATTTATTCATCTATTTTTTTTAAAAAACAATATTACCCTTCATCCTCATCTCTAATCTTAATCAAATTCAATTTTTCCCTTCTATTCTATATTATACCCCTTCGCATTGTCATCTATTTTTATATCCATCCTCACATTTGTTAATTATGTAATTATGTAATATAGTTGTTTACTACAAATTCAACATTTTAATATAAATCAATTAGTTATATAACTATCTTTTTTGTATATTAATCAATATGAACATGAATATTCCAATTATTTCCATGCAATCCAATTTCTTACAAATCAATTAATTATATTTACCAATAATAATAAACCAAATAATTTCCCCATATATTCCTCCAAACCACAACTTAACCATTTCTGCTTTCAACACAATATACAATTAATAGTATCTCAATTATTACAATTCCCTAGTTAAATAGAGCTTTTTTTCTTTTGTGTTTTAAAATCTTGAACCTCCTCTTTTGCCCTAAATTTCCCATTGTTTGAGTTTTGCACCTACCTTTTTTGGTGAGGAAAAAGAAAAAGAAATCTCTCTCTGCCTCATTTTGTCATGTTGCAGCAAAGACCCTGCTTTACTTTCAGTTTTGCTTTTTCAGCATAGCTAGGAGAAAAAAAATCTGCTCCAGGAATTTACCTCTTTGCACTAGCTAGCAACTGAGCCCTCTGCAAAGAAGCTGAGAGCAAATCAGCTGAGAGTCAGGAGGCTGATCAAATCAACTTATGGTAATTAACCTATGCTTAAGCTGAAAGGGGCTGTTTTTTTCTATTTTTGCAGGCACCGGTCTACTCATTTGTTTTCTTTTAACACTGATCAGCTGTAGGGCGGCCCTTTGAAGCCCCAGGGCAAGAATTTAAACAGGTTTTTTTTCCCTCTAGCCATCAGCTGGGACTCAGGAGGCAGCAATAGATTGGGAGTGGGCGGGGTAAGCAAACGGCGACTGGCGATCCAACAGAGGCAGACAGTGAGTGAAGGTGTGGGGGGGCGAGAGAGAGCTTTGGCGACCCCTGTGAAATGGCCGTTCGACCCCCAAAGGGGTCACGACCCCCAGGTTGAGAACTGCTGTTTTATGGGGCTTCCGGTTTGACTTCGGTCGCCACCAGACGGTCCTTTGAGACCGCCAGCCCCGTCGCTCGTAAAGAGCCGCCTTTACATCTGAAAGGCGGCTCGAAAAACTCCATTTCCATAAGGAAATGTGAGATAGAGCAGGTGAGGGCAGGTAGAGCCCTTTGCGAAGTCCCCAGAGTTTTTCCTTTACTCTTGGGGACGAAGCAGGATGTGGCTCCCTATTTCCCTCGCTGCTGCTCCGGGCTTCGGGAGACCTCTGCTTCTTGCAGAGCCAGGCGACGAGATCAAGCCTTTCAATGAAAACAACAGATTGCTTAATTAAAGAGGATGAGATCTGGACTTGGGACCCTAAATTGCAAGTATTTTTAATGATTTTATAAGCGTTTCTAAGCGAAGGGGAAAAAAAAGCTTAAAATGGTGACTGCTGAGGCTTGAGAAGCAGCCGAAAGTGAAAGTCCTTCCATAACCAAATACAAAGTAGCGGAGCAAACAGTGCTGGCTAGAATAGAGAAAAGAAAAAAATTCTATTCTAAGTTTCTTTTTTTTTTTTTGGAGATCTGATACTGATCTTGTTGGAGAGAAGTCTTCTTCCTTCAAAAAGAGTTTGTCTGTGTGGCAGGATGGCGTTAAAATTAACAAAGCCAGACAAACAAGCAGTGGGGGGGGTTTCCCCCATTTACAATTGTGTGAGCAAGTTTCTAGTTTACAGACTCAGAAGGATGGTTTTAATTTAAAAGAATTTGTTTTGAAGGAAATGGCAAGACATGACGAGATTGTGAACCAGAATCTTGAAAAATTTAAGCAGGAAATTAAAGAATTCATACAATTAAAGTATGATAACTTAAAAAGAAAGATTGTAACAGTGACTAATGCTTTTTCAGAAATAGTTATAAAGATGGATACAAATATCAAGTTATTAGAGTCTAAAATGGAGGAAGCTGATGATAAGATTTATAATTTGAACAATAAAATACAAAAAATGGAAAATGATCTGATAAATATTCAAGACAATAGTTCTGAAGTAAAGTCTAAAAAGGAAGCTGATCACGAGACTTACAATACAGAAAATATAAAACAAGGGATTGAAAGAGAAGTTACAATGATGCAATACAGGCTCACAGAATTTGCGGTCAGAATGAGAGGGTTACAGGAAAACAATAGAGATGATCTAAGAAAAATATCTGCTGAAGTTCTGGCTAGGATTTTAAAGATTCATCCAGAGGAGGTATCTTGCAAGATCGATAAGGCCTATAGAGTAAATTCTTGGATTGCAAAGCAAAGGCAATTGCCCAGAGATGTGGTGATTTATTTTACAGATAAAGAAATAAGAAATGATATTGTGCAAAAATCTTTTAATTCTACTCTACAATTGTATGGAAGAAAGATCTGGATATATAAAGAGTTGCCGCCCAAGATATTAAAAGATAGAAAGAAATTCGGATTTTTGGTGACTGAGCTAAACAAACAAAACATCTCATTCAGGTGGGATGTCCCAGTTGGCATAATATTGAGATATCAAGGAGAAAGATATCAACTAAATTCTGTTGAAAAAGCGGAAGAATTTTACTATAAGGTTCTTAAAATGGGTTCAACATCTTCATGTATAATACATGAGTGGAATAAAGAAAAGCAAAATCAACAAGAGATAGAAATTCAGGATAAGCAGAAAGAGATGGAAGTAATGGAAAAACAACAAGTTACAGAGGACTTTGTAGATGAGCAGCTTCTGGATTCTCCTTCAGAGGTTACAGCTGGACTATTTATAAATACAAGAGAGGCGGCTTTGGATTCTAATGTGATGATTCATCAAGTTACAGATCAACATAGAAATCAATCAGTTGACATACAACTCAAAGAAAAGAAACCAGAATGGAGACTTAAGCCACAAAAGCAAAACCAACAAGATCAAGCTATAGATCAGCATGAAAACCAAACAGTTGATACACAATTTATAGAAAGGAATTCAGGATGGAGATCTAACCCACAAAAAGTCAAGAAAAGAAGAAGCAGGTCTCATAAAAACAAAATTTTTTAAACTAAACAACAGTGCAATGCCAGTTATCTAAGAAATGATTGAATATATGACAAGATAGCTGAGGCAAAGTATTGAATTATATTATCCTGAGGACAGTGACAGACCTCTGCAGTGCTGTACTTTGGGATGTGAAAAGGGCCTTAAACTGAATGGATTGGAATTATCTATTTTGGATTCTTTGATAAATGTATTACGTTTATGTTGAGCTACAAGGCAAGAGAGTTATGAGATTGGGGCACGCAGAAGATCTGGTTGTTATCCTATTACGGTGTTGGAATTAATAATTTAGATGAAAGACACTACTATAGACACTATATGGAATACAAATATAAAGTCACTCGGGTGGTTGTTTTTTATATATCAAGTCATCTATTGTTGATGGGGGCAGATGGTAATTGAAGATACCGAACATACTGTTGGAATTAGGATGTGATGTTACCCTAATATGGGTGATGGAGTTAACAATCCAGCTGAAAGACACTACAGAAGATATTATATGGATTACAAGCTTAAAGTCATTTGAGGATTTTATTTATATAAGGGAATACTTCTTAGTGATGTGGGCAGAAGAATAAAGAGATCAAGAATTATTATGTATGGTAGTTCTGTAGGAATGTGGGTGGAGATAGGTTAGCTTATTGATTGTTTAGTTGAAGAAAAGGGATATTATGTTTAGATATGAATATATGTAAAAGATTTGAGTTAAGAGATATATCTATGGGGGTGGAGGAAATGGGCAGACTATGAGTTGAATATATGTTAAATTAGGATTTATTATATAGTTTTATAGTGTAAGGTTGCTTTGAAATGTTATATTAATATAAAAAAAAGAGATTTGATTTAAGAGATATATGTATGGGGGAGGAGTAAAAGAGTAGATCATGAGTAGAAATTGTTAATTTTATTGTTAATTGTTAAATTGGGGGATATAATAATATTACTATGTTAAATTAGGAGTTATTATATAATGTTATAGTAGAATGTTATTCCGAAATGTATAGTATAAGGGGGATATAATGACATTATTAGAAAGAAAGGATCAGTATATGGGGGATAGAGCAAGGGGATGGTAAAGTATTAAATAATCTGTTATGAATTTGGGTTGTACCCTGAAGAAGCCACGGGGGGGGGGGGGGGGGGGGGGGGGGGGTTGGGGGGGGGGGGGGGGAAAGGGGGAAAATTTGTATTTGAAAAACTTTTTCAATTAAAAAAAAAAGAGAGAGAACTGCTGTTTTAAACTCTGGAGAATATTTGAAGTGTGTGGACAGTCCAGAATGTGTGCGTAAACTATTTCTGCTGAACTTCTCATTGTCAGTGTTGTATTCAATTTCCATGTTGAAATAAATTTTCTTTTCATTTTAAAAACTCATGGAACTGTGATATCGGCAACATATGAATTTTGATTGCACAGCTACGTTTGCCAATATACCAGAAAAACTGCCAATATAAAAATTTTGGATAAAACTTTATATAGGAGTACTTTTCATAAATTCTATTCTTATCTGAGCAGCCCATGCGGGGCGCGCTGGCCATTCAAACAGTTCGCCTCAAAATAAGCCCCTACTCGAAAGTGGTGAGAGAAAAACTGTAGCCGCGTTCCGCCATTTTAAATCGCGCCACCGATCCTCACAGCCGGCTCTGGCTAACTGCGGCTGCGTGCGCTGGGAGCTTTACGCGTGCGCAGAGAAAGAAACCTTTCTGGCACGTGATTTCCGCAGTTTTATGACAAATGAAGTTCGCCTGATAATTTCCGAAAGCAGCGCGTGGCCCTGAACTTCTAGGAGTGCCGTTAATTATGGTGAATCTGCGAGAAGGGCCACAGGGGCAGCTTCTGGGGCAGTTTCAAAGTCAAAACTCGCACAACGAGAACGGTAGTTCACCAAAGACATGAGACAGTGACACGACCGATGCGGGTAGTTTGACTGGGTTTCCCAGGATTCCTTGCGGTGGCTACCCACACGGATTTCGTAGAAAACCTGTGGGCGGAGCCGCGAGAGGTGCCGGGAAAGTAAGGAGCATGGCTGCCGTGCTGGTGTTCTCATCCCCTCTCTCCAAACTCCGTCGTTTTCTCCGAACCTGTTGGGGGCAACTTGGCGGCCACGCAGGGCCATGGGGTAAGCTTTCTAATGTGCTGTGGGTCACGATAGCCCTCAAGAGCTCAGTGGAAAATTTCCACGGTCATTTCCAAGCTACTCGTTGGAGGTGCTTGCGTCGCTCAATCGAAGGAGGGAATTAAAGGCTTTTTAGAAAACTAGTTTCTTATGAACTCTACGCGGATTTGCTAGTCGAGCCAGCTTCGGCTTTGGTGCTTGGTCTCCTTTCGTCTGTTTGCTTCCTTGCCTGTTGCTTTTTCTGTTCTTTTCCAAGGCGAAAGCATGGTAGGGACAAAGTGCAGGGAGATTATTTCTTTTGCTTTTTGTTTGTTTTTAATCTGGCTTTATATTTTTTAAAGAGAAACGGATTGTTAGTTAAATGGAGGATGGCATTAAAGCTGAAAGTAGAGCACTCTTACTATAGATTCCAAAATTGTTTACATCCCTTATGTGTTCTTCATAGTCTTCACACGTGGAAACAAAATATTAGAAAAACAATAAAATGTTATGACAATCAGTTTGCTGTAGAAAAGGCTGCACACTGGAAGGCACCTTAGGCAGGAAGCCAGCTGAGTGACTTGGGCAAGTCCTCTCAGTCCTAAGAAGCAGGCAAAGACAAACAGCTTCTGAAATTTTGACAAGAAAACCGCAAGGAATAGTCCAGCAGTCACTAGGAGTCAAAAACTGACTTGAAGGCACATACAAAAAGATGAGGAACAAGAGATGATTTCTCGTTTTAAAAAACAATTGAATGATATGAGATACACACACAGAGAGACACTTTAGATACTGACCCTGTGCATTCCATTGTATACATATTTATTCAGAAGTAAGTTCATTTGTTTTCAGGGCTACCTAATTCCTTTTAAGCATTTAAAATTACTGTCATGGTCAATAAACCTTATGTTAATATAGTGATTTTTAATTGTTCAATACAGGGTGGATTTGATTTAAATCAAACTGATTTAAATCACGATTTAAATCACTAGTCAGTAAGGCTTGATTTAAATCATAATTTTCTACATAAAGACTAATTCTTGCTGGTATAACTTTAATATGCAAGTAGATGAAGATTTTTAGAATAACAACTTTTCATATTAGTTTTTTTATCCCCAGTTTAATAGGTTAATAATTCATATTTGGACAACTCTTCTGTTGTTCTTAGGAAGGAGAAAAATAATCATTACCTTAATAATAACAATTTAAATAGATTTATTCAACTGAAACAATAACATTACAACATATGTTATTTGCTTAAACAAACATCCATGTTTGTTAACTAATTTGACTAAACAAAATATATATATTTTAAGAAACTTAGACTGTCAGCCCAGCCTACACATGAAAAACTTAAATACTGTCCTCTGTAGCTCACTTGTCTTCTTCATCTTCTTCTTTGTTCATAATCTAGAAAAGAAAAACAAGCTTTCCTGCTTTATCGGGTCCCAAACGATTTCTCAATTTAGAATGAATGAGTCCAAAGGAAGAGAATATTCTTTCAACGCCTGCAGAAGAAGCTACTGCTGTTAAAAGTTAAATCATTACTTGAACAGTCTCTAAATCCAAGTGCTTAAGTGACTTCCACCAGTTCACTGGTGTGACTTTCTTTAAAATATCTTCAGCAAACATATATTTCTTGAATGGCTCCCCCTTAGCTTTGAAGTTTATTATAGTTGGCATTACAGATGGATGATTGCTGGATACCCATGCCATAGGTAACTCCTCTTCCTCAGCACTTAAGTTTTGATACTGGATATTGACAATATTTGCCAAAAAATGAGCTGGAGACAGTAATTGTCCCATTCGTTTTTTTAATGCTTGTAATTTAATTCTATCCATGTGTAGTTCTGTTTTTAAGTGTTCACTCAGTTCCTTCCAAATTTCAACAGCATCAGCAATAAAACAGCTATTTTTCTGTATTTTGTTTAAAGCTTCAGAGATGAGTTTCAGGATGCTCAGCGTATGTTCAACATTTCTCTTAAACCCAATGTTGAGGATTTTGGCCGTGACAGTGCCATCTATTTTATCTCGATTTTCTTCACAAACTGTCATCAGAATAGGCCAGTTCTTGATATACTGCTCAAAACAGTCCACCACAGAGTTCCATCTAACATCTTGTGGGAGCGTTAGCTTGGTTCCACCCATCCTTTTCAGAGCTGCTCCAGCAAAATGATTGTTACGGAAGTATTTAGCAATTTCAACAACATTAGTCTTTATTTCTAGAACACTTAAGTCTTTGGCTAAGAGGTGCAGCAAATGAGCACTGCAACCATGTTATTAGCTTTGTATTCCCTTCCTGCTCTTCTAAATTTCTTCTCATCTTGGATACATTTGCAGCATTGTCTGTGACCAAACTGCGTACTAGACATTTGAATTTTTGTTCACATGTTATTATAGCTTTTACTGCCACTTCTTGTAAGTATTCTGCTGTGTGCATTACCTGACGTATCAATTGTTTGTGCAAGGAAGACTTTCCCTTCTTCTGTTGTTATACAAGCACATATAATAGGATTATTGTGGACATTACTCCATCCATCAATACTTAGGTTAACAATTCTACCCTCCAGAGCTGTTGCACATTGCTCCATTTCTCTGTCATACACTTTATCCAGCAGTTTCCCTGCAACATCTGTTCTGCTGGGTGGACTGTATCCTGGTCTCAGTGACTGAACCATATTAATGAAATGTAGGTTCTCAGTCAGACAGAAAGAAGAGTTTGTTGCATAAACAAACTGGGCAATTTTTTCATCAATTAACTCTTTTTCTAATCTGCTAGTTTATCTATGGTGGTTCCAGGAGGGAAGGGTTTTTTCTTTCTTTTAGGTGATAGTGATATGTGGCTGTGGGTGTCTGATGATGATGATGCTAATGAAGCACTATCCGGGATGGATAACTCTGAAACTGTAGAACAGGAGGATGGTGATCTTGAAGGTGGATAGTTTCCAGAATACATGAATTCCCCTAAACAAAAAAGTCAATGCTGTTATTTTATTGTTTATACAATTTCTGCTTATTGTACACAGCACTGCCCCAAAAGGAATATTTGCTTTTCTTCATAACTGTACCAAATGACAGTAACATACAGTAATAATAAGAAATATAATTTTGCTCAAACATGACAGTTCAAGGCAGTCTTTAGAAATATGATTCAATAAAAATGTTTACCAACCTGAAGATCCTGCCTGTTCAAATGTGTTTCTTTGGTCATCTTCATCACAGCACTTCTCATGATGTTGCCTCATTCGGGCCACCAGGCCTTGCATTTCTTTGTTGCAGTGTTTGCAGGTTGCGCGCATGCCTGCCTTACCGATAGGTAAAGGAACTTCATTAAAATATTGCCAAACTGAGTCTCTTTTACGGCCTGCTGCCATTATAGGTTTTTTCCTCCAAGGAAAGAATGTGATAAACCTCAGGGCATACACACAAAAAGATCCAAAGACTTGTCTGTCTGTGGCTGTGCAGTATTGTGCTCAGAAAGTTTCACTTTCATTTTGTACTGCTTGTCTGCTTGCCCCTTCCTCCTCACACTTAGTTTCACTTTCTTCTTGTGCAGATCTATTCCACTCCAAACACTCAGAAAAATATTGTTTCTATTCACTGAACTTCTTGAAACTTAGCACTGAAGGGGTTGATTCTGTATTCATAGGTTTGTAGAACAATAGGATTAAGGTCTTTTTCTCAACTCTGTTCATGTTATAACATTTTTGCTGTGAAGAAGAGGCATGTGATCTCTGCTGAGTCAAATTCAGTTTTGAGAACTGCAAAAGTAAACCAAGCATCTGTGATAATATCTTGTAGGCAGAGAAACTGCCCAATAATCTTACAAAAACCTCTGGAAGAGCATGACATTGTGAATGGATTAATGGAATTTATTTACCAAAAAAATTAAACATATACAGCCTTATTCTACATAATTAAAAAACTAATCTTTATTTCATGATGGAATAACCTTTGGATGGTAATATATTTTCCTCAAAAAGTATTTTATTTAAAAAAATCCGATTTAAATCAAAAAAATCTGATTTTTTTTATTTTATTTAAAAAATCATTGATTTTTATCCACCCTGGTTCAATAAATATGTTGAAGTTGTCTGCAGATGGGCTCCAGCACCAATCCACCTTGGATGTTGAAGAGTGCTGCTAGCTTCAGATGTCGTTGGTTTAAAATCTAAATGCTAGTCAGTTCAGAATGAATCCCATTAAAAAAGGCGTTACCATTCCATATTGAAATTAAACTATTTTAAGTAGACTAAGATATGACACTATTTGAATTGATATCTTTTCTTTAAGCTCCGGCTTTAGCAATACAAGCTCCAGATTCTTTACTCAGTCCTGTTGAAGAGAAAACCGAGTATTTTGAAAACCCCAGGTTTTTAGACAGCATACTTTGGATGCCAGCTCCAAAGTCAAGGCGGACAATTGAAGTTAATCGCACCAGACGAAGGAATTCTGGCCATCTTATAAAAATAAAGGTAATTCGTTAAATTTCCCTGTGCACCATATTGGATTTTGTTTCCCTTGCATTGCTTTTATATGTTTCGTTATTCACTATCAATAGGAGTAAGTTGGCAAGCTAGTTCACAAATATAAATGAACATTTGTTTCATAGTCGGTGTGCTGTGAATATAAATCTATGCAGTCTGTGGGCTGCATGAAATTCCTGCCAACTGCAAAATTATGCTTTTGTTTTTATTTTGTTTGCCTTAATTTCTAACACCATGAAAAATAAATTGCTCCATCTAACCACCATGGCAACTATTTTCTGCCTTGTTTCAGGGTTTTTTTTTTAAGGTAGAAATGGGAAATTCCTGGCAAATGAATCATTTTACATCCCATCCTTGAATTTCTGCCCTTGGAAAGTTTAAAAGTTGAGATAGAGCAAATTGCCTTTCAGGGGCATCATGCTGCTCTTCACATACAATCCCAAAAGTGAAAAAACAAGCTAAAATACATTTACTCCTGCTTCCTGACCAGACAGCCTCCTGCAGCCCTGTAGCACATCAAGGGTCTGGGATCCAGATTCAACCCTTCAAATATTGCCTGTCCCTAATGAATATTAAAATATTAACTTGGATATATACTTTGATTTCTACATAGCATTGGGCAATACTATTTTTGCTGTGTTGGTTTTATTATTTTGATACGTTGTTGAATCCCATTTTGTACTCTACTTTATTGCTCCGTTAATGAAAAAAGTTCAGAATTTTTATAAATAATTAAATATTCTCTCACCACTGCATCTTAAGACACTTTTTTTTTCTTTTAGAGAAACAGATATTTGTCCTGAATGCGGCAACCTGAAAGAGAAGCATGTTCTTTGTGGCTATTGTTATGAAAAAGTTAAACAGGAAACGTATGCCATAAAAAATCAAATTAGATTATTGGAAAATGGACCACATAAGGCTCCCACTGTAGAAAGTGTTGTGCTTTATACAGGAGAAAAACCCAGAAATGAAGATGAAGGCAAGCGAATTATCGAAAGAAACAGGAAACGTCCATCTTGGTTCACACTGGACTAAACAGACATCACGATGGAATGATTGATTCCCTTATAAAAATCTTACTTTGGATAATATACATCCAGAAGACTGCACTGTGCTCTTTAAAAACTATGGAGAATATTGTGATAAAGCTTATATGACAGATGCAGCAAGTTTTCCAAGTTTAGTAAAATGACTTTTTTTTCCTCTCCAAACTGCAGGAGGCATATCCCGTGCATGGAATCGCATGTTGAAGGACGCTAAATATTATAAATTTTCTAACTTGCTTTTTAGAAAGTTAAATGGCTGAGGAATACAGCTATATGGATGACCTCACACTCAACTTAAATTTCTAGCTGTTAACCAAAGTCTTCCTTTAATTGTATAAAAAGATTATTTAATTGGATTAAAGTGGCTGCCCAATACTCTGGGCACCTAACAACAGATCAGAGTACCCTACAAAATGGAACCAAAAAGACATAGGTGCATACCAGATCTAATATTCTTATTGAAGTAATGTCAACATAAGAGCCCCTGACCTGCGCTTTTTCTGCCATGACCTTAAGACATGGTTATTTCACCAGGCCGGATTGGACTGAAGGAATATTTATTTATTTATGTATGTATGTATGTATGTATGTATGTATGTATGTAATTTATTTATATAATTTATTTATGTAATTTATATGCCGCCCTTCTCCCGTAGGACTCAGGGCAGCTTACAAAACAAAATAGAGAATTACATAAACAATTTAAAATCAGTTTAAAATTAAATTAAAATCAGTTAAAAATTATTAAAATTGTTTGAAATCACCCCTATGGATTCAGCCCATTTGGTGAAAAAGCCACGTCTTCAATTCGCGGTGGAAGGAGAGGAGGTCCAGGGCTGTCCTGAGGCCGGTGGGCAACACATTCCAGAGGGTCGGCACTCCCACAGAGAATGCTCTCCCCCTGGGGGCCGCCAGCCGACATTGTCTGGCTGACGGCACCCTGAGGAGGCCCACTGTGAGTGCACCCGGGCCTAAGCCATGTAGGGCTTTATAGATGAGCACCAGTACCTTGAAACGAACCCGGAGAGCCACCGGCAGCCAGTGCAGCTCGCACAGGAGAGGTGTCACACGGGAGTACCAAGAAGCCCCCGTAACAACCCGTGCGGCTGCATTCTGGACTAACTAGTCTCCGGGTGCATCTCAAGGGCAGCCCCATGTAGAGGGCGTTGCAGTAGTCCAACCGAGACATAACAAGGGCATGAGTGACCATGGCAAGGGCAGCCCGATCTAGGAAAGGGCGCAACTGGCGCACAAGGCGTACCTGTGCGAAGGCCCCCCTGATCACAGCCGTCAAATGATCTTCTAGGGATATCCGTGAATCCAGGAGGACCCCCAAATTGCGGGCCCTTTCTGAGGGAGTAAGGATCTCCCCTCCCATCACTAGTGATGGGGCCACTAGATCACGAGATGTCGGTATCCACTCGGTCTTGGATGGGTTGAGTCTGAGTCTGTTTCTTCCCATCCAGGCCCACACCGCTTTAAGGGAGTTTTAATGGTTTTTAACACTTAATATTGATTTTATCTGTTTTTAATTGCTGTGAGCCGCCCTAAGTCCTTTCCGGAGAGAGGGCGGCATATAAGCTTAAATAAATAAATAATGTAGGGAATCCTACATTACCCCCTTGTCATGGTCAAATCACACCCTGATAGCTCTGAAACCCTTTTATACCATCTCCTTCCAGGGAGAGGGGAGCCATTAGAGTGGTCATCCCTGGTGCCTCATAGAGCCAAATGGATTCCAGGAGAATCTCAGAGATATCCTGAAGGATTTATTACATAGTCCTGCCAAAATATTTGTGATAGCCTGGAACAAAAGGACTACGGAATCTCTGGACAGGATCGGGCCTATGTAACCTCTCGCAACCCTTCACTCCCATCATTCCCAGTCATTTTACAATCCAATTCTGAAATGGATTAAGAGATGTCCAGGATGCTGTTTGACAAAAACAAAGGATTACTCTGACTGGACACATCTTAGAACTGCCTATCTCATGATTAAAATGGTAAAAGAATATGATTTTTCTGCTCTTACTGCATGTGCATAGTGTCACCTACTGACATTGTTCTGGCCAGGGGACTCATTCCCAGTTATAAGCCTTGTGTGGGGCACATCCTGGGGAGATGCCTAGGGCATCTTGCCCAGTAATTTGGGAACAGTTTCACCCTGTTGGACCCTTATACCTCCAGGCTGGTGAAAGCCACCAGGGTGGTGACTAATAGGTGGGTTCATGCAGTGATAAATTCCTCGCTGCAAGGAGCCCCTGCTTTGTCCTCTTTTTAAAAAAACCATCCAACTGTCCATCTTCCTTTCTTGAGGAAGGTTTGAAAAGATGGTTGCTTATAAGCTCTAGGGTCTGGATGAAACATTTCCTGGACTTTCACTCAGAATTCAGATCTGGCTATGGGACAGAGACAGTCTTGATCACACTCAGGACAATCTCTAGCCCTAGGCAGGATAGGAGTAGTGCAACCATTCTCACACTTGACTTCTCAGGAGCCTTCAGTACCATCAACCATAGCATCCTTTTGAGCTGGCTATATGAACTGAGGCTGGGCTCCTTTCTCCAAGGTCAGTTCCAGTCAGTGTTGATAGTGAGTGAGAGATCCAACTCCCAAGCACTCAGTTGCAGTGTCTCACAGGGTTTGGTATTCTGTGTTGTTTAACATCTACATGAAGTGATTGGATGAGACAATCTTACCATGGATTAAGATATGAATATGCTAGGGATAGCTCTACATCACTACATCTGGTGACCCAGGTGATGCTGTCTCTGTCCTGTCACAATGCCTGAAGGCCATAGAGCAGGGGTATCACTCACAGCCTGCAGGCCTGTGCATCACGTGTTGGCCACGCCCAGCCCCGTTTTAGCAAAGGGGAAAAAGTCGCAATACATCAAATGACAACATGATGCAAGTTTGACACCCCTGTCATGGACCCTGGGTGAGGAACAATGGGCTATGACTGAACCCTAATGAGGCTGAGTGGCTTTGGCTATATAGAGCCTCAGTCTCTTGAGTTTTTATCATCCTTGGTTCCGGATGGGATTTCACTACACCATTAAACTCACTTTGCAACTTATAAATTCTCCTCGACTAAAGTCTCCTCAAAGAGCAAGTGATGGGTGTGGCTACGGGAGCTATTCCACAGTCCCAGTTTGTGCATCAGCTGCGACCTTTCCTGAATCATAACTTCCTGGACTCAGCTACTCAAGCCCTAATCCTCTCTCATCTAGACTACTGCAATGTATTCTACATAGAGCTATCCTTTCCATTTGGAAGCATCAGTTGGTGCAAAGTTGTCCACTAAGAGCAGACTTTGGGGCTTCTTCAATAGCACTATATTATACTTCAGCTCTGCAAACTTCACTGGCTATCAGTCTGCTTCTGAGTGCAGTTCATGGTGTTGGTTATGACCTTTAAAGCCCTTAATGCCAAAGGTCCAGGTTACCCGATAAACCATCTCCTGGTAGGACAATTCTGTCCTACTCATGCTAGCAGAGAGGGCCTCTGCTCTTCACCAGTCCTTTTTGTTATATTGTTTTATTTTTCATTGTTTCTTTTTTGTTGTATTATTTTATTTCTGTTTTATTTACATACTTTGCTTCCTTTTAATTGTTGTATACTGGGTATCCCCATGGTGAGATAGGCAACAAATAAATTTAACAAACACAGATAATGCACACCAAACTATTCACATTGCATCTAGTTCAATAACAGTACTACTTTCACAATGGCTTAATTTGAATACAAACAAGGAGTGATCTACTTAGAAGGATAGCAAAAATAATAGAGTGGAGAACAATTGAACTCTTCATAGCAGTAGTTTGTTAATGACTGCACACAACTATAGTTTAATTTAGATATAATCAATAGTGCAAATTGTTGTGTGAACCACTACCATAATCATGGGAGGCATGAATAATTGGTACTTTTCATTTCCGAATGAAAAGCAGTATTTCAATTAGTTCCTCTTGGCTCCATCACTGCCTTATGCAGCATGTGATTGAGTTGGATGCCACCATATAATATTTATTTATTTATTATATTTCTATACCGCCTTTCTCCCGTAGGACTCAAGGCGGTGTACAGTCAAGAAAAATATAGACACACAAACATCATAAAATTGCTAATTAAAATTATTACTTAGTTTGGTCAATTAAATAAAACCCAGAATTAGATAACATTTAAAAAATCATTCACATGTTCGTATGTTTAGCCCCGCCTGTTGGAACATCAGGGTCTTGAGGGCACGGCGGAAAGCACGGAGATCAGGGATATTCCGTATCTCCGGGGGCAGTTAATAATAGACCCTCACAGATGATTTGGAACAATTCTGTGTTTGAGCTGTCATTTATCTCCAGCACCTGCTGCAGCTGATGGCCTGATCTATGCATTTTGGAGAGGGTGAAATATCAGTATTTAATATGCCTATCATTTCCTTTGAAATGATTCATTTCCTATTAAAAAAAATATTTTTTATATCAATTCATACATAAGCCTAATTTGAATAAGGAATGATTTTTCTGTAGATCCAATAAAGATGTATATGGAGATTCTCAATCATCCAGGTCATGTCCCAAAAATGCTTTTTTTTTCTAGAGGCAACTGAACTTTCTCAACAGAGGGGGAGGGATATGACATCATCTATCTCCAGTCTACAACACAGTCCTTTCAGCATTTCCAAGAAAGTTCCACAGCCATTTGCACTGCTCAGGTGACTGAGGACACAGATAAACTTCCAAGTTGCCTCAATAACTCTAAAAATATTTTCTTCGAAGATGTTTCGTTTCTCATCCAAGAAGCTTCTTCAGCTCTGACTGGGAATGGAAAGATTTATATTCCTTGCAAACAGCTGGTCATTTGCATTCTTTTATGAAGTGTTTATGAAGTGGCTTTGTATCCCCAATGTACAGATCTGCACAGGGCTTACTGCATTGCATTGCATATACCACATTGCTCAGTTTGTATTTTGACATAATGTATCTAAAACAATTCACTGAATCATCTGTAAATTTTCATGTGCGAGTAATGAAAAATAGTAACATAGTTAAAAAAAGAGTTGAAAACGAACAGGTTAAAATATTGTTGGATTTCCAAATACAAGTCTGATAAAGATTTGGCTCATAATGCACCGTATTTAGAAAGTTTAAAGATCTGATAATTGAAATTGAAAGATTATGGTCCTAATGATTATCGGTATAATGGATGCCACAAGAAAAATCTTGATGGCACTTAGAAACTGTGCATTGAAAACATTTTAATCTGTCAACTACATCCATATTGCTTGGATCCACCTATATACTACACTTATAAATTTACAACATTTTGCTACCCTTAGGAACTTGATGCAAAAAAAGGACTATCCCAACTAAAGAATTGACAGTTATGATTTCA